GTACGTTGCTTCCACTTAGAAAAACATTCTGCAAATTTTCATTCCATTTTCCATTCTTTGACAATCCTATTAGATTCATACCATGTTGTGTCATGATTTTTTCAGTCTTCTTTGCAATAGTAAGAGCCATGACCAGAAGTAAAGTGTGCACTCTCCATGTCCCATTCTTTTCCAACAACAAACTGCTATTTTTTAACTTTTGCCACATGGCATAACCTTCATTATATCGCATCGTGAAGCTCTTTGTCCCATCTGTCCATTCCCCATAGAAAAATCTTCTGACCAAAAACTCGATATCTCTATGCCAAACAGTCTTGCTGACACTAAATGCATAATACAAAAAAAACCTTTGCAATTTATCATTTAAGAAAGAATAACTAGATTTCAATACCTGAAATACCCTCTCATCCATATGATATTGCCCGTCACCCATGTTTTGAAGGCATTCCGACAAATGATCCCATTCTCTTATGTGCTCTTTTCCCTTCATACTTCTTGCTATCATAACAATTGCAAGGGGCAAACCCTCACATTGTTCTGCCACCGCCCTTGCTTTAAGCTCCACCCCAGTCGGTTGTATTTGATGGACTCCAAGAGTCTTTTTAAACAAATCAAAACCATCTTCTTTACCTAGAGGTTCTACTTCTATTATGTTCTTCATGCAATTCATACTTTGGCACACTTCCCATAATCGAGTTGTCAAAATCAATTTAATCCCATTATTTGAAACTGGAAATCCAACCTCTTCTAAATAGATAGGATTCCAAACATCATCTAAAATAAGGACACATTTAGTTATGTGGTTGAATGCATGTAATAATTTCCCTGATATCCTTTTGACATCACACTCATCAGATATGTCTAAATTAATTGATCTTGCAATGACGTTTTGCAACTTATAAATGCTATTATCATATTGTGACACGGTAACCCAAATAATATGCTCGAAGTTATCACCAGCTTCTTTTAAAAGTTTATTATGCACATGAGTTGCTAAAGCTGTTTTCCCTGCTCCGCCCATTCCCCATATCCCAACAGCTGACACCTCATCTTCTGTTATCCATTTCCATATTTGTTGAGTACTCCTTTGAAACTCTTCTCCCACTAAATCAATTCTCGGCAACAAATAACCTCTAGAACATTCTAGCAATGAGAATAAGAATAATCTATTAACATGAGTTCACAAAAGGAATTATAGATTTCAAATGCAGGAAGTAAGAAGAACAAAATAGAAATAAATTCAATATATTGCATTTAGATATCCTTTACCATGTCTTTAAAACAAAGTAATAATCATCTAGCATGATTTGATGATAGTGGTTACTTACTTCAGGAGAAATTATAAAGAATGTATAAATATTTTTTTTACAAATCACTTCTCAAAAAGGGTAAATATAGTTTAAGTTGAAGCATATACCTGTTTTCAAACGAACATTTTTTCTCTTCACTATATTATCAGAATCGTCCAATTCCATGTATGCCCCTCTTCTTCCAACATCTTCAACCCGCTTTCTTTTAGTTCCACGTAAATCTAAATCTTCTTCACTACGGGCTTTTGCATAACTTCTTGCTGCTTCATCATATAGTCTTTCTTTTTCATTATTCAGGTTACTCTTGAGCAACTTTAAAGTCAAATCCAACCTTTCTTTATCACTGTCAAACTGAAATTTGTCCATATGTATTATTTAATATATGATAGAGTGTTCATAGATTCGTGTGCAAGTGTGTGTATAAGAGCATTTAACAAAACTAATTTGCAAGTTACCATACCTGTAATAAGGGATTTTGCGTCACATAATGATCTGATTGTTGCATATAATTAATAACAAATATACCACAATCATGTCTACATATTGAAAAAAATATGATATGGTCAATATGCATACTTGTTTTAATAAATACTATAATTAAAAACAAATCATAAACTCACCCATTACGCTGTAATAAGATATTGCCCGCCATTCTCCTATCAAATTTCGTGAACATAACATTTTCAAAGAGATTATCCATGGCAAGCAGCTACACAAAAAGGATATATTCCAAGGAATTAAAAGATCAATCTATTACTTGCATGTATATCACGTGCGTCTTTGTACTACTTACCAGGTTCTCTGTTGTTTGGTCGCGTTCAGTTTCATCCATAAATCGATCACATAGAGAATCCCATATTTCAATTTCCTGATTCTTCGCATGAATAATATATAGATAATAATGTCCACATGAATTTTTCTCAACATGAACAGGAATAAATATCTGTGACATGCATGTGATCAAACAAATCAAATTGATATACAACCAAAAATAGTAATCATTATGAGAAGTGAAATATCAAACTAGATAGAAAGATAATACCTTCTCACAATCCACCGATCCAGACATGTAGTTGTCTCTCATATTATTCCGGTGAACAAAGTCAAGGAAGAAACTTACATCACCACCATTGAGTGTTTTCTATAACAAAAGAATCCTTAATTAAATATTCTTGTCAATTAAATTGTCTTTGATTCAATAACTAACAAATATCATCCAATTGAAAAGAGAATAGGAAATCACCGAAGACATCACCGGAAGATACCAATTCGAAACTTCACTTTTGTTTCTCCTTTCATTGTCAGTGAGGATATCAGCAAAAATATTTATTACCTAAGAAAATAGGAAAATTAAACACTACCATATAGTGAACCCCTTGCTCAATAGTAACAAAATAGAATAAAAGTAGGGTTAAGGTACAAATTTAGCCTGAAAGTTTAAAATTATAATAATATTGCCTCATGTAATTAAAAATATTAATAGCTAACATTACTATAACGTCAGTTTTTTAGCAGTAGGAGACAATATTGTTACTGTTAGGATTATAGTTTTGATGATAACAAAGTCAGATAATTTGGGTTAAGTATGTTTATCGATCAACTGATCGATAAATCGGTTATCGCTAAGGTTACAGATAATTGTTCAAGTTTAAAGCAGTTTTATAGTAGGTATCTTGATCGAAGAACTATTCGATAAGTGGTTAATCGATAAAATGTTCGATTATCGCTAACATAGAAATCACACAAGATTACGTCTAATTATCGATCACCTGATCGATAACATCAGATAAACAATCGAGTTACTGATAAAGAGAACCAAATCTGAAGTGCATTTATCGATCACATGATCGATAAATAAATTATCAATAACGACTTCGATAAGAGGTAACACACTCTCTTCGTTCTGCACATTTACTCTGTTTATCATTTATCGATCATATTTTCGATCACTGGCTTATCAATCACATGATCGATCATTATGCTCTAACTCTGAATGCAGGTAATCATCTTAACTGCTGGATCGATAACCTTATCGATCATAAAATTATCGATCACATGATCGATAATCAATGTTGTTATCTACTCATATTTAGTTTTTTTCGGCAACCACATTATCGATAACATTATCGATAATTTAACTTGTTTGCATATTATCTTTTCACATAACATGATCGATAAAGAGTCTAAGGATTGCTATATTTGCATTAACATATGTTGAACCATTTTTCGATCACCTAATCGATCATTGACTTTTCGATAATATGATCGATCATCTAATTTCCTGAAACTCATGTTTTCACAAAACGTGATCAATAATCAGTTTCTTTACCTTACAGGATTAAATTTCGTTTCTCACTTTAATCGATCACTTGCTCGAATATTCATTGATCGATCACCTGTTCGATCATTCCAGATAAGTATGTGTCTTTCAATGAATATTCTTACTCATGGTTTATCGATAACCTTATCCATCACCCTTTTATCGAAAAGATGTTCGATAATCTGTGACTAAAGTTTCATTTCAATAACATTTGAATTATCGATAATCTGTTCGATCAAAAAGTGTTCGATCACTTATTCGATCATGGAACGATTTCCGTTTACTATGATATTTCTTAAAATCAATGATCCAACACTTGATCGATAATTTCATTGAACTAATTCGAGAAGCTATCATTCAGTTTATCGATAACCTGATCGAATAACAATTAATCGATCACCACTTCGATCAACATACCCAGAAAGTCTTTCTGCTCTTTCTACAGACAAATCATTCCGACCAAGATCTTTGAATGATAAATTCGTGTTTCTTCTTGTTCTTAATTAAAACCTACATCACAAGACTCCTTGTTGCTTAAAGTTTTAAAATGTGCAGATTACCAAGAAAGAATACAACGGCTCTTCAACGGGATTACGTAAACTGCAATCTACAGTGTCAGAAGCTCAAACGCATTAATGGCGGAACCGTTGAAACCAGCGAAACACGCAAACTGAGTCACAACGGCTAGAAGCTCTTCCGTCTAACGGCTAATTAACGACCTCAACTATAAAAGGCGCGAAGAAGCATTAATGAAGGGAATTGAATACCGGAACTACCACCTGTGATTATTAAGTCTAGCATTCAATACTCTGTTTTCCGCAATACTACTGAGCATCAGTGTTCATCATTAAATTCACTCTGTAAGAGAGCCGATAACTACTCTTTATTAAATACTTGAACGATACTCAAGAGTGTGGACTCTTGAGAGGGCTTGTATCCTTACGGGAGTAAGGGGGAGTGATTGAGCGATTCAATTACTGTACCGAGGCACCAAGAGCCCTGTCGATCTTGGAAGATAGTGAAATACTCAGAGGTGTTCTGAGGACTGGACGTAGGTCAAGTGGTTAAGACCGAACCAGTATAAATCTTGTGTCTTCCCTCTGCGGTGAAATTTCTCCTGACTCTGACTCTCTGCTTTTCAATACTGTCTCGCTTTTAATTCTAAATTTTTGTAACTCACCCAATTCACCCCCCTCTTGGGTGAGATTGATTCTAACAGTTACGATTTTAAAACCTAAAAAAACTTGTAAGTACCTAATGCTTCTGCGTAAAAACTTTGGAACAAATTTATATCTTAACCCATGAAAGTATAAGTAAATACTCACCCAGGAATCCAAATGAGCACGTGGTCCAAGTGTGATCAATTCAGATTGACACAGATGTGTACCTCGATGTGACGAAAAAATTATACATCTATCACTAAAGAACATGTAAGGCGAATGATTTAGTTAGGCTTCACATTAGAAAAACTACACATTACTAATACTCACACATAAAAGCACCAATTATATATATATATATATATAGTTGTAAGCATATGTATCTAACCTTAAACGCTCAAAAACATATTGTATCAACTGTAAGTCAGGTTCGTCCACAACATTATTGGGAACACAAAAAGGGCCGACCTTAATCCTCTCCTGATGCATAGCTTCTGAGTCGCTTTGTACTTGTTGGGGAGCTTTCATCCCTTCCCACATTGTTTGGGGGGACATGTAACAATCGAGCATTCTTTCGTTGATGAGTTTGTTATGATCTCTTTGTCCTATAATTAGTTGCAAAAGTCACAACATAAATTTAAAATCTGTAAACTACAAATTAATAATAGGCTACTAATTAAATTAACTATGACTTAGTACGTTTCATGCTCATCGCAATTTAAATATTTTGAATGATTCAGATTAAATTTAAGTTTGTTATAGATTTTAAATAATTTTTTGTTTTAACAAATACAGAGTTTAAAAACTATGAATTAATAGTAGGCTACTAATTAATTGGAACCAGTTTCAATACTGATCAACTTGACGAGCACTCTAAACTCATCAAATCTGGATCATTTATATTTGATTTGAATGGTCCGGATTTAAAATATTTAATTAATTATTTTTAAATAGAAAAACTATTTTTTGAAAGAATGATAGTTAAAAGATTATTTCTATTTTAGATTCTATACGTATTAAAATAATTATTTTAAATAAATAAAAATAAAAAAGAAATCAAATCGGGACCACTAAAATGAGATATAGATGTTCCAGATCTAATGAGTTTAGAGTACTCATCAAAGTTATGAGTATTGAAACTAGTTCCTCACTCTCACTTAGTACATTCCATGCCCATCGATGAGCATGGAGTGCTCATTGCAATTTGAACCATCTAAATCGATTTTAAATGATCCAGATTGAATTTTAATTTTTTATATATTTTAAATAATTTTTTGTTTTAATAAATAACATTTTTAAAAAAATAAATTTATCAATTGAAAAAAAAAATTTCATATCAAATTTTGGATAGTTTAGATTATATTATAGTAATGTAATGAGCACCGAACGAGGACCTGTTCATATGAATCATTCCTCACTCCATTATATGATTTTTTTTTTTTTTTTTACCTTGTCTCCATTATATGATTAAAAACTGAGGAATATATATGATTTAGAATTAACATATAGTAGTCATCACCATCCACAATTAATATAATCGGAAAACACGTATGAGGTGAAAAAAAATATGTTGACACTCCTTATCTGATAAGTTAATTTTACACACTAGGAATTAATGCTTAACTTCATTTATATTCACGTTAGAAAGAATAACAATCTCTCTGAAGGAGCTTATTACACTTAACCTTTCGAGATGTACCAACACACACACATATATCATTATATTCTTCCTTAAAATTGAAATATACTACTGCTTTTAGTCTTATTTATAAGAGCTAGTTGACTAATTTGAGGAAATTAAGGAAAGAAATTAAGTTAGTTATTTGTAATACATATGTATTATCTTTCCTAAAATATCCTTACTAATCAAATGTACTAGCTAGAACTATTATTGTTAGAAGGACTGTCTTGGAAAGAAATGCATAAATATGAGAAACAAAATGGATTGGGATCTTATATTTAGGACCAAAATAAAAATCAAACAAGATCTTATATTAAGGACCAGAAGTAGTATAATATTATCTCGTACCTTGTGAATGAAAGAGATCCTGTTTCTGGCAGCTGCTGGTGTGTTTGTTGGAAAGAGGAGAAGTACAAATTCGAATACCCTTACCCCTAATTTGATTAATATGAGATTTGATTCGATTAGCACTTGCTGCAAATTCAAATCCACAGCGATTGCACCTTACTTTGTTATTCTTCCCTTCCAATACAGTGACGTGTTTCCACGCTTCAACATCCTTAGGCCTTCCACCAGCTGATCCTTCTTTCCCCATTATTATTCCTTTTTCCCAAGAAATCTGCCTTTTCCAGCAAATAAACATTCGGATCGATGTAAAAAGAAAGCGAATTAAGGAATCTGACTGGTTCATTTTAACTTATATATATATATATATATATATATATTGAATATGGATACCCTAATCAAAGCAAAACTAACAGAGAAAGTGAAGTTACTTGCATTAGGTTTCTGGAGGGGATCGATGAGCAGGGGTAGAAGATAGCGATGACTTGAAACCAGCAGAAAATAAGGAAGAAGATGAGGTATACAATAATATATAAAAGCAGTGTCTTCCTTGATCCTAAACTATGAAACTATATATGAAGCCATTATTGTAGCCAAACTCTGTCCCCCGGAGAAGATTCTTTTAACTTTACTAGATTGTCCTGACCTGGGGAGAAAAGGTCGCACGAAGTACAATAGACCAAAACTAATTAAAAATTAGCAACTTGTCTGGGGAAAGTTTGAAACTTTGAGATGGTTTTTGCGAGGAAATCACCAGAGGAAGAAAGTCATTATTAATAATTCATTATTACTTTTAATTTATTACATGAGAAAGAGAAAGGGTAGACTTAGCGGAGGAGAGACATAAAAAAATTAATTATACGTGCAAAATATCCTAGATTCATTGAATTTTGAGCACTCATTCTCCTATATATGTTCTAGGGTATATATTATATACTGTAGATATGATTATTTCATTATCTCCATTTTTTATTATTACTATTATTAATATTCTGAGTCCCATCAGCAATAACATCCGTAAGCGCTCTCCCCCTCTAATATATTAGTTCTGTTCTTTAATATAACATCTAATTTAACTTTTAATTTGATCTCAAATATAAGATTTTAATTTACTTTGTCTCTTATATTTATTCATTTTTCTCAAAGAAATCCCTGTAGTAATGCACATGTTAAAGGTTTCATCACATAGTAATTCTAGCTAATAAACATGATTAGTAAGGGTATTTTAGGAAAAGCAACACTTATTTATTACAAATAACTAACTTAGCTAATTTTCTTAATTTATTTAGTTAACTAGCTCTTATATTAAAGATTGCAGGTAGTACTTGGCACATAAATCAAAATTTTCTCGTAGAATATAATATTGATTTTCCAAAACACCATTGAAAGTTGAAACTACCCTCCGGGTTTTCTTTGTCTCGAAAAGGTTATACATATTTTCTTAATGCTTATTACTTGTTATCATTTTATATATATATATACACATATATATAAACCAAAGAAAAAAAATACAAAATTTATGTAATATTTGCTCCGCCTCTTATTATAAGAGTTTTTGTAGAATCTCTCTTCGTCCCAAAATATAAGGTATCTTAATCATAATTTTTTTTCCCGATCATTCCACCCTGAGCCTCTTAAAAATTGTAGAAAGTGTTGATTGTGTTTTTTTTTCCTTTAGTTTTTTGTCTTCCATTTATTGCCAGCGTTTCACACTATTTTAGATTTTAAATACCTCCACTTAATATTCTCCTTCTAAGCAGGGATATTATCAAAAATAAGAAATAATTGTACGTTTAAATAGAACATATATTTAAAGATAATATGAAATTTAAGAGGTGTTTGGTTGACCTTAAAAGCACTTTTTAAAAGTACTTTCACACATTCTAAAACACAATTCTTTTTATATTCTTACTTTGTAAATCGTAAAATCATTTTTAAAATTATAGTTTAGTTACTTAAGAAAAAAAAATTTACAATAAGATCTCATATAAAAGGATTAAATACAAAAAGGTCTATTAAAATTATCAAATCAATCTGAAGTCTTAAAGGATCTCATTATAAAAAATTACTTGTTTAATTATCAAATTACTCTTTTTTTTAAAGTATGTATTGACAACTAAAAGAGTAGTCATTAACAACTTAAAGTGTATCGATTAACAACTATCACAACAAGTATTAATAATATATTTTTTCAACACACTACAAAAATGTAATGCATGAGTTCACAAAAATGTAATGCATGAGTTACTGATATTTGCTGCGATAGTTGTTAATCATTACATCTTAAATTGTTAACAACTGCATTTTCAGTTGTCAATATATACTATTAAAAAAATAATGATAATTTGCTAATTAAACAAATAGAATCTCTTGCAATGAGCTCCCTCAAAACTTCATATTAATTTGATGATTTCAAGAAATTTTTTGTATTTAATTTTCTTTGGTGGGAGTTTATTGCAAATTTCCCAAAAACAAAATGAACGTGAGTATTTAAAGCCACCCATTCAATAGTGGCAACTTCTTTATACATTGTCGTCAACCGTGAACTTGGGCATAATATGTTGTCGGCCACATATAGCCTAACCCTTTTTTTTTTTTTAAGGCCAAGTGAAAAAGAAGCCAAAGTCTGAAAACATATAATAACAACCCAAAAACACGAAAAATAAGTGAAAACAAGGCAGGGTAAAATCAGCCAGCATCCAAAGAAGAGTTAGCCAATGAATCAAGTCTTCAAAAGAGTCCTCTTTAGAAAAAACGAATTGAAAACATACTGCTGAACCAAGCCGTTTGAGCCTACGGACAGAAAAGATTTGGAGGGCAACAATTCCTTCTGAAAAGATTGTTAAACCTGGAAAGTGAGTTGGATACATATAACTCTCCATAGGAAGAATCTAATCTTTGGAGTTGGAGGGGTTCTGACTTCTGAGCTCCCACACTTCATTCCAAAGAGGCCTTGGGGAGTTGGACAAAGAACCCACAGTGATGGCAATTAATAACGAAAAAATTTGATTGCTAATTCCGTCACTGAAAATTTTATATCAAAAATTAAAAACAGAAATAGTGATGTAAATTTCTGATAGAAAAATTCTGTTACTAAGAATTTACCGACAGAGTTTCTCACTGATCAATGATGAAATTTAACAAGGAAATGAAATTTCGTGACTAAGAATGAAATTTTCATTGGAAATTCGCAACATAATGATTTTCCGCCACTTATTTCGTAGGTAATGAGCTGATGTTTTAGTAGCAAAGGGTGACTTGAGCGAGGCTTTAAAAAATTAAATAAAAGGGTAATATAGTAAATTTACTAATATTTTAAAATTTTAATTTAATCATTACGACCACTACTTAGAGTTTTGTAAGTTCAGGTGATTTTTTGGAGTTTTGAAAATTCAACTATCATTTTTTTAAAAAAAATTTCCAATTTTTAAGCTCAACTAATATTTAATTTTAGGGTTAATATAAACTTTGGTTCCTCAAGTTTGTCTTTATTTTGGTTTTGTTCTCTCAAGTTTCTTTTTATTTATAATATTGGTCCTTATAATTTAATAAAAACTTAACCATTTTGCTCCTTAAAGGATCAAAACCTATGGTTTGAAACTCAAGAGACCGAAACCAAAATGAAAGTAAATTTGAGGGACTAAAATTTGTATTAACCCTTAATTTTAATATAGAATGTTGGAAAAAATTCAATATAAAATAGATTAATCCACAGTAATTAATATGTAAATATGATGTGAATTTATATTTGAAACTAAGACTAGAAATTAATTTTCAGAAGTTAATTAGCAAGTCTTTAGAGTAGTTTCAGCAATTAGATCAATGGTTTTAGAGTAGTTCTAATGTGAGTTTTAAGTAATATATATTAATAAACATGGATTAAAGCGCAAATTCGTTCTGAAAGTTCTCACTTAGAAATGCTAGGTATTCGAAAGTTTTTTTGAGAGAAAATTTACTCTAAAAGTTTAAAATCATAACAATATTAATTGCCTTATACAGTTAAAAATATTAATAGTCAGTATCATTATTAGAATAGTCAACATTAGTTTTTTTTATGGTCAGGAGCAATATTACTACTATTTTAAACTTTCAGGGCAAATTTGCTATAAAAAAGACTTATGAATACCCAGAGTTCCTGAGTGAAAACTTCTAAGAACAAATTCACATCTTAATCCTAATAAATCTTTATGTTTATAATCCCTCAGACTCTGCAAGTTTTGGATAAGATTTATTCTATTGTAATTATCAATAAGTTGAGGAATATAACAATTAACTCTTGAAAAAAAACATGTAACTCTTAAAGTTCTTATACATAAATATAAGCTATCACTACTAGAAAAAAGACATTTAACAATGGTTAAAATAGGCTTTCCACAACAGTTTTGGAGGCACAATAAATTCCGTCGATGTTATATAGAGAAAATTACACCGCAATTGTTAACCGCAGCAAAAAATAACTTTTCATGATAGTTTTTATATAAACTGCCATGGAAAGTTACTTTTTAATGGCAGTTATACAAATAACCGCCCTTAAATGTTGAAGTTTTTTTTTTTAACATACTATGTTGAATTTCCTATCTAACCTCACTGTAATTTATAGACCCAACTACAACTAGCACAGCAAAAGAATAGGCAAAACCATTTGAAGACGTAAGCTCAATCCTAATACTAACATCCAATTCTTATTCAATCAACTACCATTATAACCAACAACTTAGCTAGTTAATAATCAAACAATGAACTAAAATGCGATGAATGACTTAACTATTTCACATTTTCAAAATTTTTTAAGCAATATTGTTGATATAGTATCCGTCATCATGTTGATTTTCTTGGCATTATATGGCACACTATCTTGAAATACCTGTAAATTAAAAATAATATAATAATTAGTCAACTTAATAAAAAAAATGAAAAGAATAGAAGAATCACAACGTAACTTATATTTACCTCGCTAAACTTCTCAGTAACACATGTCTCGATGATATTATTCACATAGTGAATGACATAATATCCGCATTCAATACTCCCGGATTGACAACGGTACTAACAAAATGAAATATAATATTAAATATTTGACTTTAAT